CAACTATTCAGTTCCAGGAAGTGTCTGGCCAGATCCTAGGGTGCGGGACCATGTGGGTTAGCCCAGGTCTGCCCTAGTTTGGGCACTGCAAGTGCTGCGTCTCAGGAAGGCGGCAGTCCCAGGGACCCCCCAACCGTTGTTCACACTCCCCAACACTCTCTGTGTGTTTATATCCCACTCCCTCCAGACCCAGGCACAGCAGGGATGGAGAAAGTTAATGCCCTTCCAGCTGGTCCTTTTCTAGACATTGGACGTAGTAGCTTCCTTCAGTTTTTTTCTGGTCTTCCAGGCAAATCAGCAAAGGTCTGGTAAGGTACTGACTCCACCTTCTCTCTCTTTGTAATTATAGTGCGAATTCCAAAGGTTTCTCTGTGTCCTTACAATGATCTTTCAATAAACTCCTCACTCTTGATTTCTTGGACTCTTGCATAATCCCAGATCACCATTTCCTCTTTGATCTTATCCTGTGCATCTTGAAAATCTATTGGAGTCACATATGCAGATTGACTTTTGGTCACCCCAGGTTCCTTTAATATGAGCAGTTCTTCTGGGTATTTCTCGGGGGGGGGGGGGGTTGGTACCTGGCAGTGTTTTCACAGATGATGCAGCATCATAATGATGCCTGCTTCCTGGGGTGATCTCACCATAAAAAACAGGCACTGCTCCATTTTGTGGCTCAGACTCTCCTCAGTCAAACCCAAACTGCATGTTACTGTAATGCAGTCTCATGGATTTGAATGCCACATGTAAGCTGATGACTTTTACAGTTTGTATCTCCAGTTTGTACCTCTTTGGTCTCCAAACTCATATCCATCTGTCAATTAAGAGCCCCGTGTGAATGGCCAATAAGGACATTTAAAATAACCCAAATCAAATTTAACATGCCCCCAAACAAATCCCTAATTTCCCCAAACTCCTTCTCTCCCTAGGCTATTCCACCTCAGGAAATGGCAAAGACATTACTCCACGTTGCTCAGATAAAAAATCTCAGGCGAGTCTGTGGATTCTACTTTCCAAATTCACCCAGTCCTACCCCTTCTCACATTACTGTAACTACCTTTGTCTAAGCCTGCCATTTCTCTCCTGGATTACTGCAGTAGCCTCCTAGCTGATCCTCCTGTCTCCGCATTCACTCACCACAAAGCAGCTAGACCAGCAAACCCTCTGAAAATGTGACATCAGAGCATGCCACTGGATCCTTCAGATGAGTCATCTCAGAGTGAAGGCCAGCACCCTTCCTAATGGGCCAGGAAGACTTATAGCATCTGTCCCTTCCCTTACCCATCTCTCTGGCCTCTTCTCCAGCTCCTGTCCACCTTACACTTTCCACTCCAGCCACACCGACCTCCTTGCCAGTTGTCTGGCACTCTAGGCGGGCTTCCATCTGGGCTCTGGTTCCTCTGTCTGCTGCGCCTTTCCACAGGTAACACCGTGATTCTCACCCTCATCCCCATGGATCTTTCTTCAACAGTCATCTTCTCAGGAAGGCCTTCCCTACCCAGTGTTCCCTTCCTTTCCTTGCTTTGTCTCTCTGCCACGTATTACCACATGACATTATTATGTACTTATGAATTAACTGTTGCCTTCCATAGAATGTATGTGCCATGAAGGAAGGGATCTTGGTCTACTTTGTTCCTTGCTGTATCCTCAGTGACTATTTTAATACTGCCCGACACATAATAGGTATTCAATAAATATTTGTTGAATGAATGAATGTACTTAGTCTCAGACTGGCACAGTGGTTATATGCTGTGATTGTTGGAAAGTGGGTTTGGAATCGGACAAATTTTGGTTCAAGCACTGTGAACCCACTTACTAGTTGTGTGGGCCTGGGCAAGTCATACGAGCCTCAGTTTTCTCCTCTGCAAAATGAGGGTAATAATCCCTGCCCTGCTAGGCTGTTGTAAGTAGGTGGAATTAAATTAGGTAGAAAGGGGCATTCACAAAGAGGAGTTGTTGAATGTAATTTTTGTAGTCAAGATGGGTGCAACAATAAGCCAGAGCCTAGGAAACACAGACATCCTAAAGCGGCCCAGCATACGGTTATTGGAGGAAGATTTTAATGGGCATTGGTTTTACTCCACATACTATTTTAGGCATATTAACTAGGGAGGGTATTTTAAAGATTAGAATTTTGCACTCTGCAGAGATGAAGGATCGTGGAAACCAAAGAAGCAAGTGACATTCTCTTATCACTGGGTCCATCAGAGAATGTACTTCTTAGAAATCCTTTATAAATCTTCCCTGTAGTCCTTGATCTAGCATTTAAATCCTAACATGGAATTTATTTTCAGATGCTTCTTACAAGAATAAACTTTGTTTTCTGAACATGTCCAGCTCAGATCTGGAATCCCTAACATTCATATATAATAAACACAGCCTAAGAGTAAACAGCCTAAGAGTATTAAACAAAGATCCCAGTGGTAACCGCCACAATCTCAGGGGCATTGCTACTATCTTTTTTGGACTTCCTTGACACCATACCATAATAGCATCCTCATGGCAGTGTGCAATGTCAGCAAAAAGGCCCACTCAATGGGGGGAAGGAAAGGTTATTTTCAAGCTAAGAAGCTGTTACTTAGAATAAAAGGCAATTTCCCTGGCATAATGATGTTGAAAAGCATTCCCCATTTTCTAAGGTAAGATTTTATAAGTAAAGTAAAAAATTTATCATTGTCAGCGTTTGAAAAACTCAGCTCTGACGATTAATTACCATTTAATGAAAATACCATCACACCACATTTTCTGCTTTTATGATTCACTATAGCCAAAGCTCTCTGAGCCCATTTCAAACTTCATCCCTTCCTCACCACGCACTCCCAGCAAGGTTACTGGGTGCAATGGTGTTGAGTCCCACTGACTCATAGGCCACATCACTGCAGATCCCCAGTTATATATTGCCATACAGCAAAATCATATAAATCATCATTTACTCTTTTCCATAATAGACTCTGTTTAGGAAGAATAATGGCCCACCCTATATTACTGCGTATTTTATACTCATTTAGATAAGAAACTCATTATTTTATTAGTTAAATATTAAAATAATTAGATATGTTAATTATTTTTTTTAGCTTGAGAAATGCCATTTGTAAATGAGCCATTTGTACACACGTGCCCGTGGATGCCCTGCTCACACACCCTAGGCCATGGCTTCTGACCTCAGGGCACTACCAACATTTTGGACCAGATACTTCTCTGCCATGGGGGCTGTCCTACCGCATCGTACGATGTTTAGCGGCATTTACTCACTAGATGCTATTTGATTCACAGTGAAAAAATGACTTTAATAAACAAATTTTGGGGGCCTTTGACTGCATGTAAAACCTACAACAAAAATACCACGCACGTATCTGATATCCACGGCCGGCTACGAGGTATGAAAACAAAATGCAAAGTCTGGTGCCAAGGCAACAGAGCCCGAGAGGAGAGTAGGGCATTTCGCTGCTGCTCAGCAGTTTTCATGCTCCCCACTCTGGTAATACTGGAAATCAAGTGCGACAGGGACAGATGGGGAGGAAACAGAAGGCCAAATTATGAGGTGAAGTATTAACAACATGCTTCAGGCCGTGATGGTCAGTAATTTACTGAGCAAAGGGGCCTTCTGATTTATCTTGAAACTTCCTCTGGATATAAGGGAGTGGCTGAAAAAGCCCAGCCCCTGATCAACTAAAATGTCACAAGTGACTTTTGGTCATGACCTTCTACCTAGGTACGACTCAGCTTTGCCCACCCACAAGACCCTGCGTTGGACGTGGCCTGCAGGTATGGATGGACGTAACACACAGGGTGGGCAGCAGTGCCAGCCAGTTTCCTCATTCAAGAATGGGATTGCTCCGGCCTCCGTCACAGGGCTGCTTGAGGTGTCGGCACAGTTAGTTCTCAAAAAATGTTACCGGGTGTGGTGCAAAGTCTGATGGAGACGAAAGGTTAAAAATTTGTTGTTCACAATCAGAATCACCATGCTGATGGTGTGACTTCCTCTCTCCCTCCCTTCCCACAAAGATAAAGAATATACCAAAATAATCCCAGAACATTTATTTCCACAGGTTCTTGATTAAAAGAGCACGACCTTGAATAAAAGTATACCACTGTACTTACAGGCAAATGTATACAGCAAGCAGGAGCTGCCCCTGATCCCTTTCACAGAGAAACTTCAGGAAGGAATTTCCACTCCCTGGGAGGTTCACAGTTAATGTCTCCTATGCACAAGCCCCATCCTGCCTCTCATTTTCTCCTATTTCTCCAACGGCAATGTGTGTTCACAAGTTGCACATGTGTGCATGCGTGGACACAAAAGGCTCACTTTACCTCCTTGAGGAAGGAGCTGAGACAATGCTTTGGAAAGAAGTTACCCCAATGTGATGGAGAAGCCAAGCTCAGGAGGCTTCAGAGCTAGAGTTATCTTTCTCCTCAAAAACGCTTCCATTCTAAAAATGTTACTGTGGGTGCCTGAAATTTGAAAGCCAGTGGGTTCATGGTGTCATGTTCATTCCTGTCCTCAATTTCTTCCCAGTTTAGGTCTGCAGAGCAGAGACATGGGGGAGGGAGAAAGTGAGATGTGTGGGTGCCCCACACCCAGCTCAGGCTGGGAGGACACTGAGGGGGAGGAGGCCTCAGGACGTGCAGTTTGCCTGCTGGGGAGAGAGGCCACTCAGAAGCCTGTGCTCAAGACCAGGCTGTTCAAACACGGCCTCTCCCTCCACCACTGCTATGTATCAGGGACTTTCAATGTTCAACACTGATACCTGACCCCGGAAACCCCACCATAAGCCTTGATAGCACCTTTTTAAGGTGTTTAGCTGGGGCTTCAGTCTGATCACCTGCCACTCAGAGCTCAGCAGCCCTCCTAGGCATCTGATGGGAAGTCACAGTGCCTTAATATGTTGAACACTGTGGCTTTCTGTCACAAGCAGCCTGCTTGAGGAAAAGGAGACGACAGGCAGAGGAAGCTGAGGCTGCCATCATGGTCAGCAAGAATCCTAGGACGGGGCCTAATGAAGTTCCTCTGTGGGGTCTGGGGGCCTGAGGGCCTGTTAGGCAGATGCCTTTGCTGCCCTCCGGGCCTCATGCTCCTGCTTTGCCTTCTCCCTCTGCTCCTGTTCCCTCTGAATCAAGTGTACCCGTTCCAGATGCCATTGCTGCAGCTTCTGCTCATAGGATGCGATATCCTCTGCTTCAAAGGTGGGGAGCTGTTCCTTGACGAGCTGGATGGTCAGAGTCAAAGGACTTTCTGATTCAACTTTGCCCAAAGCCTCAAGCTTAGAATGTAAGTCCTGTTGGAAGCGAAGAAAAAAAGAGGGGATGGGGTGAGGGAGGAGGGTGCAGGTGGGAGAATGCAAAGAGGAAAAGAGATTAAATCACTTGCAAAATGTCCACACGTTCTGCTTACAGGCAAAGGCACTTTGCTGGGAACGTGTCATGCTGCCTTTCATCTAGGCACTGTTAGCATTTACTTTTTTTTTTTTTTT